GAAGCAAGCAATGACAAATTATATAATATCTGTTCTCGTCTGTATGTTCCTTCCTGAGCGTGAAATGGAAGTTGCCTCTCTTTCTCATTTTGATTTGAAAAGCTGCTGTGTTTGTTTAGTTTAAATATCTGACTGCAGAACCACAGATAGTTCCACAGCAGGAAAATAATTACAATTTATTTTACTGTAAATATCTGTGTTTTTCTTCTTTTTAGGTACGGTTCTACTCTGAACTCAACAAGATTGAAGGAAGTTTGCGAGAATTACAAAGACTTCACCACCAGAAAGACCCTCAGACATATTCTATTGAAGTGCTGGAACTTATTTGAATTTTAAATGAATTAACACATTTTTTATTGATTCCTTTTATGATGAGGATGTATTAGCACTCCATATTGGGGATGTGAGAAGCTGTTTCTTGTATAGGAGGAGCACAGTTACTCTGTAGCTACATGAGAGTTGTAAGTTTGAAATTCGTGTATTAAAAGCTCTGTTTTTGACTGGATGAGAAGCTGGATGCTTGCTTATATTTTCATATATAATTTTGATATGTAATCATAAGAACATCCTAAAATACCACAAAGAATTAGTAGGATATTTGCAGTAAGGCTTCAACAGATGTTTCATCAAATGAATTGATGTTTTTATTCTACTTGCTACTTAATAGTTGAAGTCTCTGATTAGATTCTTCAGAGTTTTTTATCTCCACTCACATTATGAACTGTAGATGAACTCATTTGAGTTTGCTGCTTTGATTTTTCTATTTTTAAGTTGGTTTTACTTTGTCCAAAGATGTCTTTGACATTTACAGACTTATCTTAAACAGGGAAGGGAGCTTAAGTGTAGATACAGTGTTATTACCTAACATACCCTGCTTTCTCTCTTCCCTATGTCATGGTATCACAACCTATTAGTGTAGCCTTTCATGCTGTCTTTTCCAGTCCAACCAGGTCTTTTGACGCTGCTTTAAAAAAAAATAGAAGCAGAGGAGTTGTGTGGTGGTTAGTAGTTAAAATCTTGAATGACAATAATCTGAAGTTGTTTGGATGCATCTTCTATCTGATAAGACCACCTGCAGCCAGAAGCTGCCCACAGGAACTGGACTCCTCCCTCAAATAAAGAAGCAAAGTGCAGTTAGTTAATAGGATGTCTTGTTACAATCTTTATCGAAGAGGTTGCCATCAGCTGAAGACGACTGTTTTCTCAAGCAGAGAGACTGCTCCTCTAACACATGCTCTTCTGCACAGACTTTCAGAATGGAGTTACTGGATTTCAGCATAACTAGCTGTACTTCAAGACTTCTGCTTTAGAAATTTCTGGAGCTTTCTGATGTTGAAAGATTGCATCCAAGATAGTTTCTGCTTTTTTAAATACTCATCTGTTGAAATCTTGCCTATATACATTTGAAGCTTTGGGGCAAGTTTGGAAGAGGAGCAGAAAAATAGCATTTACGTAAAATGTAATGCTGTGGACTTTGGAGTGAGCTTGACATGACTTTAAGCTGACCATAAAACTGGTAACTGCCAGCACAGATCAGAGCAAGAATGGTATCTTGCCTGTTTGGAACAAAGAACTCACCTAGCTGAAAATAATGTCTCTTTTTGGATAGTGATTTTTCTTAAGCATATGTCACTGGATACAGAGGAGATATCCAGCCTGATTTGGAGCAGAATGTTGGAAAATCTTGTTTTAATAAAAGGCTCCTTAACTTTTGTCAGCTTTAACTTGCCTGAGAATGAACAACAGCATTTTCTTCCTTTCTCTGACTAGAGCTATAACACGAGATGATTGTGGCTGAAGTGCAGAACTTACTGGACTTTGGCTATATAATTTTGAAACAGCTGCACACCGTTAGAAACCTTAAGGCTCTTTGGAAGTTGACATGTTCTAGTTGTATGTACTGTTACCAGAGGTCAGTACCACATGTATGTAAAATTTCAAAAACACTACACGGGGCAGCTGAAGAATCATACAGAGGGGTACTTGATACTGGCAGTAGTTGCTCTTAATTTTCTGAACAAGGAAACATCTCCAATTTAACATTCTTGCCTACATCAGTGTTTGATTTCTACATGTACTTTTTTCAAAGAATGAACACCTCAACTTCAGTGAACCTCACCTATACTGCTTGTTCTATACAGCTTGAATTTTCACATTTCAAAGTATATCTTAGCTTTATATTTGACTGTCTCTTTAAAAAAAAACAAACTAAAATTTAATGAAAGCAACACTTGTTGAAGATATTACAGGTATAAACATATACTGAATTGTGCTTCTGGTTTGGTGTTCATTTAAAACAGACTTGTTATAAGTGACTTGTGGGACTGAATATTCATCTAAATGAAAGCTCCTCTGAGATGGGAGAAAATAGAACAGGCATAATGCTACATTTCCTGAGGTCTAGTATAAAACGGATGGTTGGGGACAGAGGTCTTCAGAGAAGACACATCAGTACATGTTCAGAATAGCAAACAATATTTTAAAAACCTCATTTTACTAATAATGTGATTGAATATTAATATAATTCAACATATCAGTATATTGATATAGTTTGTTTTTCATCATACTAAATAAAATGATAGTATATTGAATTACACCACCAAAATGTATGCCCTTGTGTCCTAAGACTGGCTTTATTTATTCTACAGCTGAGCTCTAGTCTAACATTATTCAGCAACACTGTGGTGTCTTATAAATGTACATGTCACTGATTAGATCTAGAGCTGAATACTCAAATTCAGTGCTTAATACATGTTATTAAATAATTTGGAGGGAAGAACTGGACAAAAGCAGCTCAATAATTTAACCAGGAGCATATGCTGACTTGTTATGAATGCCATCCAGCTGTAGGGTCTTACTCTTGGAGAAAGGAACCCATCCAGACAACAGCTTGGAACAACTAGGCTATTCATCTTCTCCAAAGTGCCCTCTGAAAGGAGGCTTTCTCTCCATCTGTCTTGAGTATGGAGGCAGTGTAGGGGCTTCTACCTAAAATTCCTCTTCCTGCTCTACTCAATTCTCTTACAAATATGGTTGTTTAACTATACCAGCAGACTCAAAATATGAACTTCAAGTTCCTAATGGAGATAGGGGTTTTTTTTCTTGGAAGTGGACAGGGGTAGGTGAATAGTTTAAGGGGTTAAGGTTGGTTGTACTGAGCTAAGCTGTGTGTTGGAAAGGAATAATCATAGTCCTGACTCTGAAAGTTAACACTAATGCATCCATTTCTCCACCTATAAAATAAAAATTCCTTATGTCCTATTCACTGAGCACTTCCACATTGACACGTGATAAATCTTAAATGAGATTAAGAGACCTGGTTCACACTATTCAAAAGCAAATGATTCTTAGCACCTTTGATCTACTACAGCCACACAAAATCCACAGTAGAGATGTTAACACTCATAATGCTACAGGCTCTGTGAATATCCGTGAGGAAGATACACTGGATACCTTTGCTAGATTCTCAACGCTGTTTAGATGGCAGAATTCACAGGTGTTCTTTCCAAGATCACAAAGGGAGATAGTGAAATAAGTACCTCAAAACATGTATCTGTGTATTTGTGTGTTTAAAGAGTCATCGTAATCCTTTGCACCCTTGTGAGAGGTTACAAAAATTAGCCTGACATAAGCAATCCAAAGGTAACCGAAAGATTCAGACTACAAATTGAGTATAAAGGTGTAAGGGGGGTTAGGCAATGTTGTCTACTACTGTTGCTGTGTCTGTATCGTACTGTGTCTAGAACATGGCTCTGAGCCTGTGCAGCTGCACCACTGAATATAAAAGAGTGCAAATGAATATAAAAGAGATGCAGATAAAAAGCTGGATGTAAGAGTGCAAATTGGGCTAAACCCTGCTGCCTGGTGCCATTGTGACAGTGTTGCATGCTTGACACTGCGGCAGGTTTGTGGGTTTAATGAGGTTCTCAGCCTGAGCAACAAGTTCATGAACAAAAGGCACTTCAAAAATCCCTACAGAAGAATGCAAATTAAATTACACACTGGACATGTAACTGGCATGCTTATGCCATGACCAGTTTGGGTTGTACATCCTACAGAACCATAAGCCTGAGAGAAAAGGAAAATGCGAATACACTTAACATGCTGATGCTAGGACTTCAGACTCTCTGGGATCCCAAAGCTGTGTAGATTTAGCAATGAAAAGAGAGCTGGTTTTAAGAAATGCAAGACGTTTGCATATCTTGGGCTGGCTTTCAATTTGTATTGCTCTTGCTCAGGAAACTGATACCCTGAATTCAAGTGGCGGCATTAGAAACCCGACAGGGCTATTGGTTTATGTAGATTTTTAGCCCTCCGGGGGCTCTGGCAAATGGGAAAACAAGGGAGAATTACAAAATAGATTAAGCCCATCTTCGTTGCATAGTGAACTGCAGACAGCAGTTCAGAGAAAGTAGATGGACAAAAATGCAAATGGTGGGGCCTTACGTGATCTCCTCAGTCCGTTTTGCTTTATCACGACCCTGGCTAGGTAATGGTGAGCTGCAGGAGGGTTTTAATTTTTACATGATGGGTGAAAATTTAAAACACGGCAAGAGCTGCCTATAGCCGCGGTCAAGGGGGGCTGCTTGGCGCGGTGGGGGCGGGCGGCCGCCGCCTCAGCGCCGTGAAGGGGCGAACCCGCTCCGGAGGGGAGACCTGTTGGCTCTG